TTGGGGGGGGGGGGGTTCATAAGTCGACTTAATAATTTTCTTGTTTCCCTTGAGCCATTTATGTTCCGCCCATTTTAGAAAGCAACTACAGCCATTCCTTCTGATACATTGGGCAAAGTCATTCTTACTCGGTTGAAACGGGCGATGAAGTCCCTTAGTCCTTCTCACGGGGACTGTTTGATAGCAAAGATATCATTCACTCTTGCCTCGGCCTTCTTGGCCCCGACATGGGCCGTCATGAACTTATCAACCATTTCCTTGAATGTTTTGATGGAACGTGTTGTCAGTTGCGAGTACAAGGTTAATGCACCTCTCGTGAGGGTTTCGCCAAATTTCTTTAGCAGAATGAAGGATACTTGTTCTTTGGTGAGATCATTGCCTTTCACGGCGGTGACGTAATGTGTCACATGATCTTCGGGGTCAGTTGTGCCATCGTATATTTTCAGATAAGGCGTCATTTTAAAGGTCTTTGGTATGGCATGCGGGGCAGTGCTATCACTGTATGATTGCTCGACGAACTGACCGGCGTCTCTTTTCGGCAATAACTTAGGGGCGTCCAGTATTTTATCGCCCCTTTCCTGGTGCTATCTCATTTGATCTCGAAGTGTCTTGTTCTCGTTTTCCATTTCCTCCATCTTTTTTAGAATGGCAATGAGAGCGTCGTCGCCTGCATTGTTAATAATACTGTGAGTAATACCTGTCGTCGTGGGCGGGGTGGTTGATCACGTTGCTCGTCCACTGATGGTACGACACAGGTTCTCGCCTTTAGTGCGGCCGCGTCCTGAATAGGCTTATGTAGGACGATGCTCAGTGGATCAGTCAGCCAGGCCTCAAGGAGTTTCTTTATCGATGGCGGTGTCTCCTCTCCTACGAACGTGGAGTCTGTCTTGCCAAGGGATTTTGTGATGCTGTAGGGGGGATCTACCTTGCCTAAGGGAGGCATTGGGCGTTGTGCCCTCGTCCACTGATGGTGCGACACAGGTTCTCGCCTTTAGTGCGGCCGCGTCCTGAATGGGCTTATGTAGGACGATGGTCAGTGGATCAGTCAGCCAGGCCTCAAGGAGTTTCTTTATCGATGGCAATGTCTCCTCTCCTACGAACGTGGAGTCTGTCTTGCCAAGGGATTTTGTGATGCTGTAACTGATAGAAAATGGGGAACAATATGAACAAGAATCTTTGTAAAAAGGTACTCTTTGTGTTTTTGCTAATTGCTAGAGGGAAAGTCCTCTTAATCAAAAGTGTTCTCATCATATTCAATAGTACATACCTATATCATTGTATCTTCTTTATATATATATGAGACATTTTTTTTAGAAAACCCTAATAGTACAAATGTAGGGAATATTCTTTTAGTATCATATCTTGACAAATTAGCCATTACAAGTCCTATCATCAATAGCCGATCTCGACCTCGACCTTTGCTGACATCTTGATTGCGATAACCGTCGATATCTGGACCACGACTCATGTCGACACCTCGGCCATTGACCTTGCTGCGTCTTGTGCGAGCTCGACCGATAACTTTCTTTAATGCCATATTACGCTAAATATTCTAAAGACGAATTTTGGCCTATACAAACATGAGAAATCATGACTAAAACAAACCATCTTCACATTTTTTATATTTTATTTCCGATTGTAAAATTGATTAAACTTATATTGTTCAGTCTTAAAATAATAATAATATATATAGAAATGTATTGTTTTAAAGTCGGGCAAGAGTGAGTAAAACTGGTGCATTTGAGATTTATCTTGAATCATAATTTATCTCATGAATTTTGTTTTGTTAAAATTTTCACTATATATGAAAAAATATATTAAATTTACTCGTGTATTAGTATTTACGTATATATATAATAATTGAAGAAAACACAAGCTAAAGCTAAATATTTGAATATTCATATTTTTAAATTTATGATAAATATATTTTATATTTTTAAAACACGTGAAAACTGATACATTATTATTATTCTCGTAATTTGTTTTCCTATTATTATTATTATTATTATTATTATTAAAAGGTCACGTCAATCCACCTCCAAATCAGTACGGAGAGCCGAGAAGTTATTACCTCCAATTAGGGCTAGGGTTCTCAATTTCAATTCCGAACTAAGGTTTTAGATTTTCCCTTCACAGTGAACAGACGACGACGAGGGTAATGGGAAGGCACAGAAGCCGTAGCAGGAGTTACAGCCCCGTGCGACGTAAACGCCACGACGAACCACGTGACCGTCGCCACGACCGTCGCTCTCCCGCACCTTCTGGCCTTCTTGTTCGTAACATCTCCCTTAGTGCCAGGTATCAATCATTTTTTATGAACACATACGCGCAACTTAGGGTTATCTTTTGTTGCAAAATCAATTTCGTTATTGAAATATTTAACATGCATTTATCTGATTTTAATGCTTATTAGGTGCTTTATAGATTTTTTATTGTTATTTGAGGTAGAGATAGCGCCCACTGATCACATTTTGGTCCTTTCTATAAAAACATAGCAGCTGTACTGGAGTTTAACTTGTAGAAACTCCATGAAAGTGGCAAATTTTCAATTACAAGAGCTGAAAAATGGCTATTTCTGAATTTTACCAGTTGTTTAAGTGGTGATTTGAGCTGTCCTTATGATATTTGTGCTTAGCAGGTCGTATCCTAGGCATGTGGATTAACAGTGCACCTTTTGCATGCAGGCCCGTTAATAGCTCATGCCTTTGTCGACCTCAATTTGATTTTGCATTGAGGCTTTTGGGTCCTTGTACTACTTTTTTGGGGGATATCATAATTTATGTTTTCATATGTAATATATTTAGGTGTTGCTTCGATTCCTGAATTCTCCTACTTAAACTCAAGAGTGTATGTTCCTTTGTGGAATTAGTCTGATATTGATATTATTGGTTCAAAAATCAGCTTAATAGAGGAAATGTCAAATCAAAATACCTAACTTCAATAAGAAAAATGAAATAAAAAATTTATCAAACTTATATATATATATATATATATNATGCTAGTCTAACTTCTGAAAGTTGAGATTCAAATAACTGACCGCTTCTTGTTGCAATCTATTTGCGCGTCATTATTTGAAGTGCACAGTTCTTTGAAGTGTATGGCTTCACTCATAAAGTGATAAGCCTTCACTTTTTATCACCTTTCATCTCTTTAAGCGACAAAGTGATGGATTTTAGTGACGCTGAGTAAAATGTTGTCTGACATTTTGGAATGTCTCAAAATGGAAAGATGCATTAACTTGAGCTCCCCTCACACCATATAAGTCCTCTTGAACTTGTCTCAACTCTCCGCAACATCAATCGAGTTTGAATTACATTATCCATCAATACCTTTTTATTCTCATCGTTTTGAGGGACTAGTTTCATGAATGTTCTCCAAGGAATTGGATCAATTGGCACATGAACATTGTAGTGACACCTCAATGCTGTATTTTATTTAAGGGAAAAGGGTCAAATGTACTCCTCTACTTTGGTATATTGTTCACATCTACCCTCCGTTATACTATCGGGTCATATCTATCCTTACCGTTAGCTAAACTTTTTAAAGATACCCTCCACCTAACGGAAAGCCACCAAATTAAAAAAAATACTTTTTTTTAAAATCCATTAATAACTCGTTAAACCCCTTTCATTTACTGCACTTTTTCCTCGCATATTATTCATCTCCTTCGTAGTCACTTGTTGAACTCATGAAGTGAAAGACATAAAAATACCGACAATCATCTAATATATTGAGTCCCAATTCTTTTAATATCCTTATTATATGTTTATTATATTCTACCTTTTTCTATTTCTTTTTTTCTTCTAGCTTCTCTCTTTTTTATCCCACCATGTCGAACTGTACCGAGTATTCATCATGATTTTCTTTCCACCATGACTTGAATGTTTATATCTTATTAGGTTAACAGTTCTGAAGTCTTAGGGCATCTGCCAAAGTATTTCTTCCTCCAACAGTGAGCCTTTGTTGATGAGTATTCACGCACCATGATTTTCTTATTCTGCTTTAAGCGTTTGGGCAACAAGTAATTATCGTCAAATCTCGCCTTAAGAACCAAAGTTAGATTCCAAACTATGGGATGTGATACTCATAATTCTTAGTAACAACTGAACTTATAATGAATAAACATTAGAAAATAATTAGAGGAGATTCAATTTAATATCTAGCTACAGTCTAAGGAATTCATCAAGAATGAAAGAAAGTACACCAACAAGTTGGAAAGCAACTTAAAAACCTAAGTACACTAACTTTATGTATTAACCAAACACAAGTATTATTAAAGTATATATCAGTTGTTACCAACATACAAACCAACTGTCAAGTGTGCATAACATTAGACAAAGGGATGCCATATTATAACCACACACAAAAAAATAATAACCGAAAGTGATAACTTGACATCCTAATGCCACCATGAACAACTAATAACCAAAAATATAAGTTTTTACTAATCCTACTTCCACCATCACTCTCTCTAAATAAATAAAATATGTTAAGACGCTTCAGAAATTTAAGTTACGTATTTTAAGTGACTGGTTTAACGGGTTAATGAATTTTTTTTAAATGATTATTTTATTAATCTGGTGGCTTTTCGTTGGGTGAAGGGTATTTTTAAAAAGTTTGGCTAACGGTAAGGGTAGATATGGCCTGATAGTATAACGGAGGGTAGATATGGCCCGATATACTAAAGTAGAGGGGTATATTTGGCCCTTTTTCCCTTTATTTAATGAAAACCATATCAATGAGTTGTTTGAGTTTCATTTTGTCGACTTGTATATGCAAAAGATAATTAAATTAAGGATTGATTGATCTATCAATCAACTATTCAGACACAAGAAGATTTATGTAAACACTTGCGCGAGATCTCACTTATCTGATTTCTCCTTCCTATCCGTTAGACAATGGACACTTTTTATTTTGATTCTTTTTCAGTGATCGTGTTTTAGACTAGTAACAAGTTTCTTACGTGTTCAAACACATCAAATCCTTTAACACCTAGACTTGCTCCTTGGACCACTAGCAGATGTATCTCTGACGGAGAGGTTGAATTATGATGCTATGCAATAAACTATCTTCCATATCTACAAACATTGATACATGTGGGCTTTATGGTTTCTTATATTTCAGATGGCTTTAAAAACCTTTTGAAATAATATAGCTAGTAAAAAGAAATGAATTGCAGAATTTATACAGTAGTTTCTGCCTGTCAGTTAATATGGCTTAATAAAAGTTGAAGCACTCCATCTTTCTAAAGGTTGGGTTGATTTGTTTTCCATTTGTATTTCATAAACTGAAGATTGCTTTCTCTCTCTGTCTCCCTCTCTTTCTCAGTCTCTAAGCAGATGTTGCTATAGTTGTGGATAAAGTTAATCATTTTGTGCTTGTTCTACAGGCCAGAAGATGTCAGGGTCCCCTTTGAACGTTTTGGTCCTGTAAAAGATGTCTATCTGCCCAAGAATTACTATACTGGGTATGCACGCGCCTTGATAATATGGCTTCTCACTTGGTACTGTATTCTGCAATATGGGTCTGTTTCCACGTCCTGCTATTTGTTAATACCACTATGATCAATAACAACCCAACTTCGACACAGTTCCAAGCTACTTAGGGTCGGCAATATGAATCTTCACTATCCTTTTCGCTTCATCTAGATGTCTCATTCCAATATTCAATAAATTAGGCTCTAATACTAGAAGTCCTCTACATTTTCTTATCGTCATACAAATCTCCCACAATGATTGAAAAACTCCTCTAGCAAATATTTGACCAAGTGAGCATATCAAAAAGACTAAGCCTTAATCTCAATTAGTTTGTATTGTCTATATGTGTGATCTTTTTCTTTCTGTATGCTCTATTTGTCTCCAAGTTTGCATGAATTTCAAGAGATTGTAGATTCTTCAAGACAATTGCATTCCATGTGGCTTTGGTTCTACCTCATTCTCTTTTAACATCTTCAACCATCATGTTTCACACTTTTTAGCCGATGCTCCTGGAGGTCTATGTAAGACATAACCTAATCACATCAAGCAACCTCACTTCCATAAATCGACAAGTTTTATGTTGAGTGTCGGCGTATTGTACCCCTCCTTTATCTAAGTTTTGGACTAGAGTATCAGCAATGTAAGCAAGTTCGCTGTGACATTTTATCTATTTATTCTTCCTAAAATAATCTCAACTTATATGTAGGGAACCACGAGGATTTGGCTTTGTGAAGTTCCGTTATGCGGAAGATGCAGCTGAAGCAAAAGCACACTTAAACTGTACAGTTATTGGTGGACGTGAAATTAGAATTGTTTTTGCGGAGGAGAATCGAAAGACCCCTCAAGAAATGAATAGGGTTTTACGCACAAGGTGCTACATATATGTGGTTTGCTTCGAGTTGCAATCATGTTGATTATCAATCTCTTTTCCAGCTCAAGTGTTCACCCTCAGTGAATCTAAAGTCTACTACTTTTTCTGTTTAACTAGTGGACCTAGTGCTCGAGGCAGCTATAGGAGACACAGTCCACAAAGGTTCCCAAGTCGCAGATATCACTGTCAGTTTGAATTCTAACTCACTTACTAAAAGTAACTGTTTAGTTTCTCAATGACTCATTTAACTTCTGATGCTGATTTATATGATATTGCATTGAGGCTCCCACCCCTCCGAAATTAAAAAAAGGAAAAAGAGAAGAAAGAAGTAAACTTAGTACTGTTAGAATCAAGAGTATTGCCTTCCTTTAAGAGTAATGGTCTAGAATTTTCTATGGCAGCTTACTCGCGCTCGGCTTCCCCGGCACGACGCGACTCAAGGTTTGTATTTCATAACAGAAGTTTTGCTTGTATTCTCCTATTGTTTGTTTGTCTTTGAGCAAGGACTGCAACTGATTCTAATGGGACAAAATCTAGTAAGAACATCTACAGGGATAAAAGATATCTGTAGCCTGTAGTCATAGTAGCAGCAATTTCGTTGCCTGATGTGCACAAGCACAATTTCAACTATCAAGACAAAATTGGTCATTTTCCCTACATTTAGATATAATTGTTGCTCTTAAGAGAGACTTTGCACGTTGATCTGTTTGATTCCTCTTCAGCATTATGGTGCATGTCCTTCGTCAATGAGCTTCTTCTTTGTAAAATTGTAGTTATTTTGCCTTGCATCATCAAGACGCTCTGTATTGTGGCTTTATCTATTTTTCTTGCCTATTTTCATAATGATAATATTTTTTGTTTGTTATTACCTTTTTTTGCCATAAAACACTCCTTAGTTGGTATCTGATTATTTTATGCTTGTTTTTTTCTCTTTGGTGGTTAGGAACTTAGGATAGTGATGTAGCATATTTATATCTGCCAAAGTGCTGGTTGCCTCACTCTATCCACTTGATTTTAGGAATTGATCTTTTCTCTATTTATTTATCTGTTATCTCTTGTCCTGGAATACTGAGGCTTTCTCCGTCCCTTGAGTTGTGGTGGCTTATTAGGTTCTTTAGCTTTCTACTTTTGTTGAATACTTATTTGGGACGCACTATTATAGATTATGTCAAATGTCTTGCAGGCATATGTCATCTATCCTTTAGATTTTTGAATGACATCTGCTGGTGGCTTTATTAATGCAGATGCTAAATTGAGAAAGAGACTTAAAGAATTCTGGACTAATAAAGACAATTGAGAAAAGGGACCTTAAAGTCAAAGATTACTTGCTCATGAAATGTGATGAATCTCCGGAAGTTTCAAATCACCATCATCAAAGTTCATGTGATTTTCCTTTTCTGGATTTTTTCCTATTAAGGATGAGCCTTCTATCGTACCTCGGAGAACCAATTGAAGTGGTGTGGACATATTTCAGTCACAAAGACCTTCATTTGCTTATCTTTAAATTCATGTTTTATTTCTTAATGTTGCACAATATCCAGTTAGAGAGAAAATTTAGAGCTTATAGTTGGCCAAAGAAAGAATTCACCTTCAAAGAGGCAAAGATTTTTGAAGTTTTCACTGATTGGCATTTCATGAGAATGCCCAAGGAAAGGTACCTCGAGATTTGGGGCAAAGAAGAGCTTTGAAGTGATCAGATGCTGAAGAACTGTACCATATAGTGCTTAAACAGTCTGGATCAACTGTAGTTTTTTCCGGACTATGAAATAAGGATACAGGTAAAGGTTGTGGTTCAGTAGATAGATAGTGAAGGAATCTACCTTTCCTGGTTTGTTCAAGTGTCGGTCTTATTTTTTGAGTAGTTTGTGGCTTTGTGAGTTGGAATAGCAGTCATTTGAGAACCAGTGCTAGTCTTTTTACTTGTTTGTACTGTTTTCAACTTCATGGATTACTGCAAAAGCTACATTGAAACTTATTATTAAGCGACTTAAGTACACTATGGTTCACAGGGACAGGGATCGTGAGAATCGGGATGATTACTATTCTCCAAGGAGATGCAGGTCAAAATCTCCATCTGTTTCTCTAAGGGATGAAAGAAATTATAGGTTGAATGGAAGATCTTCGAGACAGTCCCGGCAAATGTCCAGGTCAAATTCTCCACGCATTCAGAAAAAAGGTAGGTCTAGCCCGAGTCCAAGAGATAATAGTCCGATTGCTCATGATGTGGACTCTGCCCCAAGGAGGCTCGAGAGACCTGGAAGAAATGCAGACAGCTCAGCCAGATCTCGCTCTAGGTCCTACAGGTTTGTGAAACATTAAATTGAACTAGCCTGTACAATGCACGTCCTTTCGATATTATAGTACTCTTTATACATTTGTTCCTTCGTGTACACATACAGCTGCCCTTTTTTGGTGGTTCGAAGGGCCGTTATGGATATACTATTACATAGCAGCTCAAATCAGCACCCTTTTGGTAGAGAGTTGGTGTTTGAGGCTTTGAGCTGTTGCTACTAAACGCCGAGATATGACTTGTCATTTTATGGACGTTATGGATATACCATGACATACAGTTGCTGGTCATGATGATAGTAGGTGACTAGCACAGAGAAAAGATTAGAAAAGCTTTCTGTGGTCTGGTTGTATTTTTTACCAGCTTCCTACTATAAAAATGCTACTAACCTGGTTTCTTTGGTGATTTCCCCTTATTTGACTGTTGTTTTTCCCCCTCTTGGCAGTCCCCGTTGATGATTTGGTCTTCGTTATCACCATCTGCTGGTCTTTTTGGAGGTTTTGGGACAAGTATCTGCAATATCTTGATATAGAGGATTGGCTACATATGCAAAACTATAGTAGATTAGAACCTTACGGTTATGTCTGTTATGCTCGTGTTTTCTTTCTTTTTGTTATCTCAGGTTGAACTGATGGACTTGTAATATAAACATGGTCATTGGTTAACATTAGCTATTTTCTGTTTTTATCGTACTAGTTCTCTAAATTTTAAGGTTCGGTGGACTTATAGTAATAGTTCTGTTTCCTAGTCGTATGTCTTCCATTTAGTTTTACTTTATTAATCGAGGATGGAGCAGTTAAAATAGTGAAGCAAATGGATATGACAGGAATTCAAATTCAAATGTGTAGTAACATCTTGCGCCTTTCAGCCTGTACGGCTGAAGTATTGAGACGTTATGTATAGGTGTAAGTTCTTAATGAAAAATTCCCCAATAAGAGATGCAAGGCTTTAGTTCTAAATGAGTATGCGACTTTTTTTATGGTGTGCATTGATAAGCTGAAAAAGTGTACTTTATTGTAATTATTTAAGTTACACGATAGTATAAAAAATTGTTTACAACTTTCATTATAAATAAATTGTTAAAACGAGAAAGAGAAAATTTTGGTATTTCAGACACCAATGAAGGTGCGTAAGCAAGTCTTAAAACAGAATTTTACATTATTAGGTGACGTTGTGGATAATGTTGTAAGTTTGAGTTGGCAAACGAGAGAAAAAAGTAGAAAACAAGTTGCGAACGCTAAAAATCCAGTGAATGATGATTGTAAATAAGCTTCCAAACAAGTTAAATCTGCAAGTGTTGGTACAAGTAGTAGTAAGAACCGAGCTAAGAACAAATACACTGGAACGAAAGAAGCCAGCTCCCTCAAGTCCAAATATCTAATTAGCCAATCTGGCGTGAAAAATATTTTGATAGAACAATCATAATATTGTAAATACTAGAGGATCCTGGCTCAAGAAAATATAAATTTGTTAAAATCACATCATGCTTGAAATAATTCATTTGTCTCGCCTTTATACATGGTAGAGCTAGTAACTTAAGTCTATTTTCATAACGCAAAAAAGTCATTTTATCTCTAAAATTTTAAGCAGGCACTTGCCATTCAAAAATATAGTGGGTTTCATCTTATTATAGTAGTCCACAAGCAGCCCATTTCGTCATGGGCTTTTAGAGAAGGCCTCAACCAAGCGAGTAAACAAAACCCTTTTCCGTCCGAAGTTCCCACACCGAGCAATTGCTGAAGCGTTCCACAGTTTATATGGCAAAAGCTCAATCTTAGAGTTCGTCCCTCCGGGGACATCCGATAAAATTGGAACGATACAGAGAAGATTAGCATGGCCCCTGCGCAAGGATGACACGCACAAATCGAGAAATGGTCCAAATTTTTTTTTACCCATCGCCGGCGGTGATTTGGTGCTTCTCCGATGCGTTCGTAAACTATTCGAAGTTTTCCTTGTCCCTCTTTTATCTTCTGCCCAAATTTTGTTGACCGGGATAGGAATATTATGCCCTAGTGTAATTTTTTATTCTGATATTAATGTTTTTTTTGTAAAATTCAGTTATGAAACATCTGAAACATTTATGAATATGAGCACTTAAAGTATATCTTACGTGGTCTTTTGTGTTTTTCTCTTTGAGTGTAAATAAATCTTGAGCCAAATTTGAATGATAATTCATTATTTAGTTTTCATTTCAGCATAGTGGTGCTCTGGTGCCTGTATTGCAACGGTTAAATTCTAGGTAACCAAGAAATTTTCTAGGTTGAGAATTTAAATATCTGTCGATCTATGTTTTGGAATTCTAATAAATTGACTGAGAAGGGAAGAGTTGATAATTACTTAGAGGAATTTGAAACACTGAGAGCTCAAATGTTGGTTAAAAATCCTGCTTTGAATGAAGCTTATTTCGTATCTAGTTTCATAAGAGGGCTTAGGGAGGAAATCAACCTGTCCGTAGAATTGTTTCGACCTTCTACATTAGTCATTCTACAATCTACACTGCCATATTTCTTTTTCATTACTGTTGTGCATATATTTTTCTTGAGCCGAGGGTCTATTGGAAATACTATCCTCTCCAGACCCCACTATGCGAGATTACATTAGGTATGTTGTTATTGTTGTACATTAAGTCATGCTATAGAACAAGGTAGGATTCAGGAAAAGGCAATCGTGTTTATTATTAAGAAAAGGAGATGATGCTAAAACTTGTAGGGTCAGCTTACAGCAGTCTACTAAAATATGGTTCTTCGCAATCTACTTCCAAGGTGATAGAAGCATCTAAACATATTACTCAGCAAGGAGTATAGGAGAATGACAGAAAATGCAAGGCTACTCTAGATTTCGAATTTCCTGGTGTTGAAATCATGGAAAATAAGGAGCAGAAGGTCTTCGATGAAGGTCTTAGAAAGATAAAACTGCAGATATCTCAAATGTTGATGCTTGCTCCAGCGAATATAACACAAGTAGTGCCGCAAAACTTATCGCAGATGCAAGTGGCCAAACAACTTTCCGGAAGGAGCTATGTCGCATCCTTTGATTCTATTTTGGTGGATAGCTCAGTGCAAAGTAAGCTCAAGAGGTACTTCGATTTTGATTTTGATTTACATAATAAAAATATAAAAAATTTGGAGGAACAAAAGGAATATGACATGTTCTGGAGCTAACTTTTTTGCTACCTTGTATTTTGCATCTTCTGGATACCTTTTATTAATGATAATTACTTCATAAAAAAACAAAAGGAATATGACACTAAAGCTGGAGACGGAAAACTGTGGCCTAACAAATATATTTCTAATGGATCAAGGGTGTTGTCATGTTCTTTGAGTTATTTCAAAACTAGAATGAGGAACTGTCGACACGTGAGACTTGGAACCTCTGAGAAGCTTGTTATAGATTAACTATAATCAATTAACTTTAAGTACTGAAGTTTTTATATTAATTGAACAGAAGAATATATTGAGGCTTCCTGTAAAAAGTGGGAATTGAAGATGTTACGGAAGCTCTTCTGAGAAATAGTTTTAACAATGACATTATTTGTGTCAAAATTTGAGAATTGCTTGAGGCGGTTAATGGAGGAAAATTATAGAACAATGCTCTGTTATTGAGAGAATGAGCAAGCTTGCTCTCCACTACCGTATATAGTCGATATATACTAGAAGAAGAAGAAATAAGAGCTGAAAAGACTAAAACACCCTTAACTTACTTATAACAAACTAACTACCTTCTTAACCAATTAACTACTCATGTGACTCTCACATGCTTATATCATAATATGCCCCCTCAAGCTCGAGGGTGCAAAACATTGAACACTCCAAGCTTGCCAAGTAGATAATCATGTTGAGCAGTCCCTAAAGCTTTAGTTAACAGATCTGTCTGCTGCTCCTTAGTGCTGACATGTGTTGTCTTGACCATCCCTTCCTTGATTTTGTCTCTAATGATGTGACAATCAATCTCTATATGCTTTGTTCTTTCATGAAGCACAGGATTAGCTGCTAGTTGAATGGCTGACTTACTATCACTGAGCACTGTGACTGGTCGTTCTATTTCCACGCCCAACTCCTTGAACAAACCAAGTAGCCAAGTCAATTCTGCAATACTTGTAGCCATACTTCTGTATTCTGCTTCAGCTGAACTCCTTGAAATAGTCTGTTGCTTCTTCGATTTCCAAATGTGAGCTCCTTAGCATATTCAGATTGCAGTAATACACCCTGCCCTGGAGCACTCTTCAAGTACCTTACCACTTTCAATGCAGCATCCCAATGAGACCTTTTTGGTGCATGCATAAACTGGCTCAAGGCTTGTACAACATAGTTAATGTCAGGCCTTGTTATATTAACATATTGAAGTTTTTCTACTAGCCTCTGATAAGTGCTAACATCTTGTAAGGCCATGTCTCCTGTGATTCCATTTGCTTTGTCATACTCTATTGAAGTCATTTTTGAATTGACTTCCAATGGTGTGCATGCAGGTTTAGCTCCACTTAATCCCATGTCTGATATCAATTCTAACACATATTTCCTTTGATTCAGTAGTACTCCACTCTTAGATCTTAGGACTTCAATTCCCAGAAAGTATTTCAACTCTCCCAGATCCTTCACCTTAAAGTTTTGATGCAGTATGTCTTTGACCATTTGCATAACTTCCTATGATGAGGAGATCATCCACATACACAAGAATGGCCACTATGCCTTCTTGACTCCTTAGTGTGAACAATGAGTAATCATGATGGCTTTGTACAAAACCAGCCCCCAATAAAGCCTCAGTTAGCTTAATATTCCATTGCCTTGAAGCTTGCTTGAGTCCATATAGTGACTTCATTAATTTGCACACTTTCTTTTCTCCTTGCCTTCTGAAGCCTTCAGGTAGCTCCATATACACTTCTTCATATAGATCTCCCTGCAGGAAAGCATTATAAACATCCATCTGGTATAGGCCTCCAACCTCTTGAAGCAGCTAATGCGATGACAATCCTCACAGTGACCATTTTTGCCACCGGTGAGAAAGTGTCATGGTAGTCCAAGCCTTCCCTTTGACTATATCCTTTTGCAACCAGTCTGGCCTTGAATCTTTCTATGTCTCCATCTGCCTTGAACTTGATTTTATACACCCACTTTGATCCAACAACATTCTTCCCTACTACCTTCCATGTGTTGTCGTCTTCTCATGCCTTCACCTCTTGTTTTATTGCTTCTATCCACCTACTATCCTTCACAACCTCCTTGAATGTCTGTGGTTCAGTCAACTTTGAGAATTTTGCTAGGTAACATTGGTAGCTTGAACTGGTCTGATCATAGGCCAAGTAATTTGAAAGAGGATAGTTGCAATTTGTGTTCCTTTTGGTTGTCACATAATCTTTAATCCATATTGGTTCCTTGACCTGCCTTGTAGATTTTCTGTCTGGTCTTGAGTTTGTTGCATTTTCATCTTCTTGCTGTTCATTTGTATTTTCTTCCTGATCCTCAATTGTAGTTGATCTCTCCTTTGCATTCTCAGGGATTCCTGCAACATCCATTTCCTGCAGATTTAATGAGTATTGAGTTTGAGTTCTCCTGCACTGTACTCTGCCCATTGTCGTGCAGAGCTACTGCTTCCTCCATGGAATTTAAATTGCTCGTTTCCTGCAAAACATTAGTATGT